CTTAGTCATGGAAGTGATACCTTAGTCATGGAGGTGATACCTTAGTCATGGAAGTGATACCTTAGTCAGGGAGGTGATACCTTAGTTGTGGAGGTGATACCTTAATCATGGAGGTGATACCTTAATCATGGAGGTGATACCTTAGTCATGGAGGTGATACCTTAATCATGGAGGTGATACCTTAGTCGTGGAGGGGATACCTTAGTTGTGGAGCTGATACCTTAGTCAGGGAGGTGATACCTTAGTCATGGAGGTGATACCTTAGTCAGGGAGGAGATACCTTAGTCAGGGAAGAGATACCTTAGTCATGGAGGTGACACCTTAGTAATGGATGTGATACCTTAGTCAGGGAGGTGATACCTTAGTCATGGAGGTGATACCTTAGTCAGGGAGGTGATACCTTAGTGATGGAGGGGATACCTTAGTCAGGGACGTGATACCTTAGTCATGGAGGTGATACCTTAGTCAGGGAGGTGATACCTTAGTGATGGAGGTGATACCTTAGTCAGGGGAGGTGATACCTTAGTCAGGGAGATGATACCTTTGTGATTGAGGTGATACCTTAGTCATTGAGGTGATACCTTAGTCATTGAGGTGATACCTTAGTCACTGAGGTGATACCTTAGTCATTGAGGTGATACCTTAGTCATTGAGGTGATACCTTAGTCAGTGAGGTTATACCTTAGTAAGAGAGGTGATTCCTTAGTGAAGGAGGCGATACCTTAGTCATTGAGGTGATACCTTAGTCAGGGAGGTGCTACCTTAGTCAGGGAGGTGATACCTTAGTCGTGGAGGTGATACCTTAGTCATGGAGGTGATACCTTAGTCATTGAGGTGATACCTTAGTCAGGGAGGGGCTACCTTAGTCAGGGAGGTGATACCTTAGTCGTGGAGGTGATACCTTAGTCATGGAGGTGATACCTTAGTCATGGAGGTGATACCTTAGTCATTGAGGTGATACCTTAGTCAGAGAGGTGATACCTTAGTAATGGAGGTGATACCTTAGTCATGGAGGTGATACCTTAGTCGCGGAGGTGATACCTTAGTCACGGAGGTGATACCTTAGTCATGGAGGGGATACCTTAGTCGTGGAGGGGATACCTTAGCCATGGAGGTGATACCTGAGTCAGGGAGGTGATACCTTAGTCATGGAGGTGATACTTTAGTCATGGAGGGGATACCTTAGCCATGGAGGTGATACCTGAGTCAGGGAGGTGATACCTTAGCCATGGAGGTGATACCTGAGTCAGGGAGGTGATACCTTAGTCATGGAGGTGATACCTTAGTCATGGAGGTGATACCTGAGTCATGGAGGTGATACCTGAGTCAGGGAGGTGATACCTTAGTCATGGAGGTGATACCTTAGTCATGGAGGTGATACCTTAGTCAGGGAGGTGATACCTTAGTCAGCGAGGTGATACCTTAGTCAGGGAGGTGATAACTTAGTCAGCGAGGTGATACCTTAGTCATGGAGGTGATACCTGAGTCATGGAGGTGATACCTGAGTCATGGAGGTGATAACTTAGTCAGGGAGGTGATACCTGAGTCATGGAGGTGATAACTTAGTCATGGAGGTGATACCTGAGTCATGGAGGTGATAACTTAGTCAGGGAGGTGATACCTGAGTCATGGAGGTGATAACTTAGTCATGGAGGTGATACCTGAGTCATGGAGGTGATAACTTAGTCAGGAGGTGATACCTGAGTCATGGAGGTGATAACTTAGTCAGGGAGGTGATACCTGAGTCATGGAGGTGATAACTTAGTCATGGGAGGTGATACCTGAGTCATGGAGGTGATAACTTAGTCAGGGAGGTGATACCTGAGTCATGGAGGTGATAACTTAGTCATGGAGGTGATACCTGAGTCATGGAGGTGATAACTTAGTCAGGGAGGTGATACCTGAGTCATGGAGGTGATAACTTAGTCATGGAGGTGATACCTGAGTCATGGAGGTGATAACTTAGTCATGGAGGTGATACCTGAGTCATGGAGGTGATACCTGAGTCATGGAGATGATACCTGAGTCATGGAGGTGATAACTTAGTCAGGGAGGTGATACCTCCACTTCATGTGGTGATACCTCAGTCAGGGAGGTGATACCTCCACTTAATGTGGTGATACCTCAGTCATGGAGGTGATACCTCAGTCAGGGAGGTGATACCTCCACTTCATGTGGTGATACCTCAGTCAGGGAGGTGATACCTCCACTTCATGTGGTGATACCTCAGTCAGGGAGGTGATACCTCCACTTAATGTGGTGATACCTCAGTCATGGAGGTGATACCTCAGTCAGGGAGGTGATACCTCAGTCAGGGAGGTGATACCTCAGTCAGGAAGGTGATACCTCAGTCAGGGAGGTGATACCTCAGTCAGGGAGGTGATACCTCAGTCAGGGAGGTGATACCTCAGTCAGGGAGGTGATACCTCAGTCAGGGAGGTGATACCTCAGTCAGGGAGGTGATACCTCAGTCAGGGAGGTGATACCTCAGTCAGGGAGGTGATACCTCAGTCAGGGAGGTGATACTTTATTGTAATTTCTTCCAAACACTGACGTACAGAAACACATCTTTCAGTGCAGAGAAAGATCGCAGTGAGCAGGATTCCAAACCACGTCAGGGAGGCTGGCAAGGTCCCCCAAGTGTCGCTATAGACCACTCGGCCACACCTTTCAGTATATTCATGATATATACGTAACTTAGCAGTAACCGTAGCAGTAACAGCCTCGTTGATCACGCCCTGATCCACCGGGAGGCCTGGTCATGGACCGGGCCGCGGGGGCGTTGATCCCCGGAATGCCCTCCAGGTAGACTCCAGGTATATACAGTATATTGAGATGTACCTCTGCATACCTGTCAGTGTATATGTTGAGGTATTTCTATCTGCGTATATCCACTGTTAGGTGGATAGGTGGTTGGCACGATGAGCGATAGGATGAGTTAGCTGCGGGATGGGCGGCAGGGTGAGTGGTGGGCGGCAGGGTGAGTGGTGGGCGGCAGGGTGAGTGGTGGGCGGCAGGGTGAGTGGTGGGCGGCAGGGTGAGTGGTGGGCGGCAGGGTGAGTGGTGGGCGGCAGGGTGAGTGGTGGGCGGCAGGGTGAGTGGTGGGCGGCAGGGTGAGTGGTGGGCGGCAGGGTGAGTGGTGGGCGGCAGACAGGATGAGTGGTAGGCGGCAGGGTAGCGGTGAACGTTTCGGTAGCGGTGGGCGGCAGAGTGGTGGTGGCGGTGGGCGACAAGAGAAGCGACAGTGGGCGGCAGGGTGGTGTGGGCGGCAGGGTGTGGTGGGCGGCAGGGTGGTGGTGGCGGCAGGTGGTGGTGGGCGGCAGGGGGCGGTAGCGGCAGGATGGTGGTGGTGGCGATGGGCGGCAGGGTGCTGGTGATGGCGGTGGGCGGCAGGGTGCTGGTGATGGCGGTGGGCGGCAGGATTGTAGTGGTGGGCGGTGAGCTGCAGGGGGGCGATGGGCCACATGGGGGTGGTGGTGGCGGTGGGGTTGGGTGGTGGTGGTGGACGGCAGGGTGGGGCGGACTGCTGGGTGGGCGGCAGAGTGGTGGTGTTGGTGGACGGTGGGGTGGACGGCAGGGTGGTGGTGGTCGGCGGGGTGGGCGGCATGGTGGTGGTGGACGGCGGGGTGGGCGGCACGGTGGTGGTGGTGGACGGCGGGGTGGGCGGCACGGTGGTGGGGTGGACGGCGGTGGGCGGCACGGTGGTGGTGGTGGACGGCGGGGTGGGCGGCACGGTGGTGGTGGTGGACGGCGGGGTGGGCGGCAGGTGGTGGTGGTGGACGGCGGGGGTGGCGGCACGGTGGTGGTGATGGACGGCGGGGTGGGCGGCAGGGTGGTGGTGGTGGTGGACGGCGGGGTGGGCGGCACGGTGGTGGTGGACGGCGGGGTGGGCGGCACGGTGGTGGTGGTGGACGGCGGGGTGGGCGGCACGGTGGTGATGGTGGACGGCGGGTGGGCGGCACGGTGGTGGTGGTGGACGGCGGGGTGGGCGGCACGGTGGTGGTGGTGGACGGCGGGGTGGGCGGCACGGTGGTGGTGGTGGACGGCGGGGTGGGCGGCACGGTGGTGGTGGTGGACGGCGGGGTGGGCGGCACGGTGGTGGTGGTGGACGGCGGGGTGGGCGGCACGGTGGTGTTGGACGGCGGGGTGGGCGGCACGGTGGTGGTGATGGACGGCGGGGTGGGCGGCACGGTGGTGTGGTGGTGGACGGCGGGGTGGGCGGCACGGTGGTGGTGGTGGACGGCGGGGTGGGCGGCCACGGTGGTGGTGGGGTGGTGGTGGACGGCGGGTGGGCGGCACGGTGGTGGTGGTGGACGGCGGGGTGGGCGGCACGGTGGTGGTGGTGGACGGCGGGGTGGGCGGCACAGTGGTGGTGGTGGACGGCGGGGTGAGCGGCACGGTGGTGGTGGTGGACGGCGGGGTGGGCGGCACGGTGGTGGTGGTGGTGGACGGCGGGGTGGGCGGCACGGTGGGTGGTGGTGGACGGCGGGGTGGGCGGCACGGTGGTGGTGGTGGACGGCGGGGTGGGCGGCACGGTGGTGGTGGTGGACGGCGGGGTGGGCGGCACGGTGGTGGTAGTGGACGGCGGGGTGGGCGGCACGGTGGTGGTGGTGGACGGCGGGGTGGGCGGCACGGTGGTGGTGGTGGACGGCGGGGTGGGCGGCACGGTGGTGGTGGTGGACGGCGGGGTGGGCGGCACGGTGGTGGTGGTGGACGGCGGGGTGGGCGGCACGGTGGTGGTAGTGGACGGCGGGGTGGGCGGCACGGTGGTGGTGGTGGACGGCGGGGTGGGCGGCACGGTGGTGGTGGTGGACGGCGGGGTGGGCGGCACGGTGGTGGTGGTGGACGGCGGGGTGGGCGGCACGGTGGTGGTGGTGGACGGCGGGGTGGGCGGGTGTCAGCGCTGACACCGTTCTCACGCTGCCGTCAGTTTTTCCCACGTGGTGGTGCTCGAGAGATCCGCCAGGGTGCAGCACCTCCTCCCTGAGGCCCGCCACTCCGGCCTCACACCACCTCAGTCAGTCGCCAGCACTCGCCGCGAGCACTTCTCTCACCCACGAGCTCTCGCAGAGGTCACATGTGCCGCGTCTGAGTCCCAGGGACTAGAGTCAAGAGTCCCACACACACACAGAGCTCCCCCATACCCCAGCAACTATGAAGGTGGAACGCGCCAGCTCCGTGTGTTCTGACGATGCCCCATCGTCCCCAGATTCCATCATGTCTGTTGGGGAGTCGTCTCCGCTGGCGTCCCCACAGCCGTCTCCTGCGCCCCTTACTGATCCCTACGATGACCAGAGGCTGTACTCCCCGGCTTACACGGCGCACAGCCCCGCCTACAGCACCACCAGCAGCAGTAGCAGCTCCGGTAGTACTGGGGGCGCATCTCCTACCTACAGCTGCCCGGCCAGCCCGGGATACCAGCGGTCCGCCTCGCCCGATTTCGGCTTCCAATTCCCTCCCGACTCCGGGTATCCCGGGGTGGAACAGTTCGGCTGTCAAGCCGAATTCGTCAGGGCAGTGCAGGACGGGGATCCCAGAGAGCTGAAGCGCATCCTGACGCGGTACTCGCAGCTGGTGCAGATCAACGGCTTCACGGCGGACGGGCAGACGGCGCTGACGCAGTCCTGTATGGACGGTAACCTGGAGGTGATCAAGGTGCTGGTGGCCCACGGTGCTTCCCTCCACCTTACTAACCGTGATGGCTTCTCGCCCCTGCATCTAGCCTGCTGGCGAGGCAAGTATGATGTGATGCAGTACCTGCTGCGCTCCGCCTCCAGTAGACGGTAGTTGTTGTGATATTGTTGCCTCTAGCCTAGTGATCCGTGCCATGCGTGTGTTGAGCAGGGAAGCCTTCGCCCTGTGCAATACTGAGTGTTTGTTGGCGGCCAGAGCTCTCGTGGGGTCTTCTAGAACTGTGAGGACGGCCTAGAACCCTCATGTGGGCGGCCAGAACAGTGTGGGGGTGGTTGGAGCTCTCGTGTGGGTGGCTTACAGCTCTCGTGGGGGCAACTAGAGCCCCAGCCCTCTTGTCGGCGGCCAGGACCTCCATGTGGGCGCCTCCCTACATTCGGCTACAATCTACAGTCTGTGATGTTTTGAAGCTGTGTGCCGCCCCTGACAACATTTAACGTGCCACCGCCAGCCTCCAGCTACCACCGCCTGCCCCTAGCTGCCACCACCTGCCCCAACTGCCAGCAGGCCTTGGTAGCACCGCCCCATAAGTTACCTCAGTTTTATTCTCCAAGGGCGGGACCTGTGGCAGCCTTGGGCCCTCGCTGGCAGGGGACGCAAAAGATGTTACAGCGCCTCTCGTTGAACTCTGTGATCTACTCTGGTGACCGAACGCGGAAATTGAGAGGAGTGATGGGGGTTAGGTGGTGTTGACGCCACAGATGTGCAATATGTGTAGGGCATCACCCCAGGGTGTGATGCCAGCTGGTGACGTCGTAGTACTTTTTTTATGGTGATTGTGATACACCCTCCGTAACGATGTTGTGAAGTGTATCTGCTGAAGGAGGGTAGGAAAAAAACATTGTGTTCTGTACTGCGCCATCTTCGCTGGTAGTGTGTGTACCTGCACCTACTGCAGGTGTGTCGCCACACCTACAGCAGCTGTTCTTCAAGATCACCCGGTGTTGTGGTTACACCTGCAGACAAACTGTACCTGCAGCATGTGCCTCAAAGAACCAGTTCTGTGGCTACACCTGCAGGAACAGCACCTCAACACAACCAGGTGTGTGGTCACACCTGCAGCAGCTGTGCCTCAAGACTGCCAGGTGTGTGGTCATACCTGCAACAGCTGTATCTCAAAAGTACTCGCATGCCTTACCTCACATCCTGCCCTTCTCCTCGCCAACCCTCATTGTATAACTGCTCGCCAGCTTCCAGTGCCATTACGGCGATTTTTAGCAAGTAATGTAGAGTTGGTGTGTACTTTGCTAGTGCTTCAGGACACCTTGCACGGCCGGGAAGCTGAGCGGTGTGAGTGTGGCTGGCAGAACCTGTGCTAGTGATCCAGGGGCGTGAGGACAGGTCACCACCGACGAAGATATTCCACTGGCGCCATGCCTCCGTTCCTTCGTTTCTGCAGGAGTGACGGCGACGAACAATATTCCACTCCTGTGATCCTCTCCATGCCCTCATTTGTTCCTGTAGCCTAGAGTGACAGAGAGGATCCTACAGATTCCATTCCCGTGATCCTCTCCCAAGTACCAGTACTTGGGGCAGTGATCCTTATATGGGAGACTTGTTGAAGACAGTTCTCAGCTCGTGTGTGAAAGACGAGTCCCCGGCTTACGAGAGGAAGTCAGCTGTCTCTGGGAGGCGCAAGAGCCTCAATAAGTAATGCAGTTGGGGGATATTGATCTTCAGAAGAAGCAGGAACCCCTTCAGCATCACTGGCCTGTGGATCTCTGGTAGGAGTGGGAATCTCTCAGTCTTTCGCAGTATTGATCTTCAGTTTCAGTAACGCCATCCACCTACAGAAGCAGTGGATCTCTGGGCACTACAGGAACCTCAACACACTTCACAGGATCAGAAAGTGGATCGTCAGGAGATGCAGGAACCCCATCTTCCGCGGCGGCAGTACCCTATGGATCTCCGAAAAGTGCAGAAATCCCCCTCCGGCATGTGCTGGGAGGGGGAAGCGGTGTGTGTGTGCGTGTAGTGTTCGTGGATGACATCATCCAGAGGGAGCACAACTGCCGCCTCCAGTGATACACTTGATCGTGCCTTAAGAACTTATGTTAAGTTGTTGTTATCTGTTGAGATGTTGCCTTATTTACAACAATGTTTGTTTCCCTCTCCATCAGTGGCTTGGGAACGTTGTATTATCAACTTCAGATATGACCATATATTTCTGAATTATAGTTATATTTTTATACATGTGCATTTATATATCCTTTTTTGACGAATATTTTTTGAGTTCCCTCATGGTAGAAGGAGAAACATAAGTCAACTAGTAATCATGAAATAACAAAGGACTAGGTTACAGGCTATTTAAAAATCTTAATATGAACGAACGAAATGATCTGAATTATACCATGGAATTTGAGTAAATTTCCTGAAACACTGACAGCGCCACTCTGTAAACACTGAATACCTCAGATGATCAGAATAATCACTGTAGCAATGTGTAGAATTGCATTAACAAAATTTTCTCTGCCCACAATACTGGCTCAGTAATTTGTGAGATGTCACGTCTAAAATATAAATAAAAGCTTCTGGAAGAGCAGAAGAGGTTGAGCAAGTTTTTTTTTTTTTAGTGATTCTTATGGCTACGCTACATCTCCATTAATATTCATTGTCAGAGCTTGTTCGAAACTGACAGGTGACTGAGTGGCAGATAAGGTGGTACTGTCCTGTAAACACACACACACACACACACATACACACACAGTTTATCTCCCTGCCCGGGCATCAACACCCCACCTCCCACATCTCCAGTAAATACACCCAGTGTACCCCCAGGCATTTTGCCCAACAACTGAGCCCGCACGTAGTGTACCCTCCATGTTCCCACTGTACATATATCCAGTGGTCCATCTATCTATTTCCCTTAATACTCACCTACCTCAGCCTTTTCTCACTCTTAACACGTCTCTACCACTACACACTTCTTAATATATCCGCCTAATATATTCTTAGACCCATATTTCCACACCTTCCCTACCCAAAACCTACCTACCTACAAGTACTTCCTAGCACCCTAGTTGATCAGGCCCTGATCCATCGGGAGGCCTGGTCGTGGACCGGGCCGCGGGGGCGTTGATCCCCGGAATAACCTCCAGGTAACCTCCAGGTAACCACACACACACACACACACACACACACACACACACACACACACACACAAAACACACCAAACACACACAAACACACACACACAAACACACAAACACACACACAAACACACACAAAACACACACACAAACACACACACACACAAACACACACACAAACACACACACAAACACACACACAAACACACACAAACAAACAAACACACACAAACACACAAACACACACATACAAAAACACACAAAAACACACACACAAACACACACACACACACACACACGAGCTAAGACTCGACCCCTGCAACCTCAACTAGGTGAGTACACACAGTACACACTTCTCTCCCCCACATTCTTCCCCACACACTTCTCACACTAACATTTTTTTTTCTTATTCTTTCATCACATTCTCTTTCACCGCGTCTACCTGGAGTCTGCCTGGCGAGTGTCCCGCGGCTCGGTCCATGGCCAGGCCTCCCGGTGGATTGAGGCTTGATTAACCAGGTTGTTACTGCTGGCCACACAGCCCGGCTGATCAAGAATTGACTTTATGAACCTATCCAGTTTCCTCTTGAAGGCATCTAGAGGTCTATTGTAATTCCCTTTGTGTGATAGGAGGCTGCTTAATAGTCCTGGACCCCGGACACTTATTGTGTTATCTCTGTGTACTCATGGCACCTTAGCCTGGCCCATGGCCGAGCTCCGAGAGTAGCAAGATTCGAAACTCATCCAACGTAGGTTTTCAGTGAGGGTATGTTGCACCGTCTGCCAAGTCTTGTTTTTGAAGGGAGTGATTTCTGGGTGCAGGTTTACGACCAGTACCTCTAGGATTTTCCGGGTGTAAATTATGATGTATCTTTCTCGCCTGCATTCTAAGGAGTATAGGTCAAGGGACTTTAAACGTTTCCAGTGATTAAGGTGCTTGATTGAACTTCTGCCTTCAGTGAGTTGTGGTGTATGACCCTTGTAGGTTTAGCGTACATTCTCCAGATCAGCAGATTCACCTGCCTTAAAAGGGGGCCGTTAGTGTACAGCAGTATTCTATCCTAGAGAGAATAATTACCTCAAAGAGGATAATCATTTGCTTGGCATCCTTTGTTTTGAAGGTTCTCTTTTCCGTCCTATTATTTTCCTGGCAGTTGTGATCCTTGAAGGTTAAGATCATCCGACATTTTCACTCCCAAGTCCTGCACATTAATTTTTCAGTCTATTGTGTGATTAGAATTAATTTTATACTCTGTTCAAGCTTTTATTTCCTCAAGTTCTCCATAACGGAGTAACTGAAATATGTCTTAATTCATTAAACATCACGTTGTTTTCTCTGGCCCACTGAAAGATTTGCTTTATTTCTGCTTGATGATTTATAATAATATCTTTATTTCTACCAGTACATGTACAAGGTGTACAGACCATAGCTGACATTAGTAACATACTACTATATAGAAAGCCGCTTGTTATGCTGAGCATTCGGGCAAATTAGGTCAGTTTTGTCCCAGGATGCGACCCACACCAGTCTACTAACACCCAGGTACCCTATTTTATACTGATGGGTGAACAGGGACAGTAGCTGTCCTATGGAAACACGTCCCTTATGTTTTCCAGATGTACCGGAGATTCGAACTCCGAACCTCAGTGTGTGAGCTGAGTGCACTAACGATCGAGCTACGGGACACAGCAGACTCTTCCTGCCACTACATACTACTTCCCACAGCACATGCACTGTTTACATCCTCACCTCTACGAACAATACACACCAACTCACCGTTCAACATACACACTGCATACTCTCCTTACTTTGCACATTCTCCAACACATTTACCTTCCCACCAACACACTCTCTACCACCCTCTCCATCAATATACCCTCTAATTCCCTCGCCACACCACACACACTACTCTCTCCCCCCACACTTTTCTAACCACCCCTCGAACTTCCTCGCCCACACCAACACACTACTTCCCCCCCCCCCCACCCACTTTTCTAACACACCCTCAACCTCCCTCACCCTCTCCAACACTACACCAACACAGTGTGAGAGCGATAAGAGCAATCAGTGTTAGATAATGTTATCTGGTAAATTAGTTGACCTACACACACCTACACAGATACTGTCTGGTATTAACACATACACACATTAATCCATACATACACATATTAAGAGGTTTGTATACATGCCAACCCATTTAGTCTTGGGTGTATATAAACCTACACAGATGTGTACATAACCACCTATACAAGTGTGTACATATAGACCTGTTTGGATGTGTGCGTATACTTGTAATGTGCCCTAACAGCTCTCGAGAGTTTGGTCAGGTTTGGGGCCAGGCTTTTCTACTGATACTTATTCAATCAGGCTATTGCTGTTGGGAACCCGCTGGCCCGCACATCCATCACAGCCTGATTGATCTAGTGCATCATGGAGGTGGTCCCGTTTCCTCTTGAAAACTTCTACACTCGTTACGGTAATATTTCTGTCCTGTTGGTACCACGATGAAGAGTCTTGGTGAACGGATGTTGCTGTAGGGTTCTCGTACTGTTCCCGTGGTCTCTCTTTTAAGTGGGCCTGTTCTGCACCGCCTCCAGCATCTCTCACTCTCAGTACATTGTTATGGTAGTGTGTAGGTTTGAGACTAGGCCCTCTCGTATACTCCATGTACATGTTTTCGTGTATCTCTCTCGCCTTGCCAGTACTCTGGGGTGTTTCCAGTGATTTAAATGTTTTATTGGCTCTGTGAGAGCAGTAAACAATCTTTGTATCAGTTCCAGCTGTGGCATCTCTCCAGCCCTGAACAGAGCCGTCATCGCCAGTGTTATAAAGATAAAACAAGTGATTCGAATAGTGTCACCAGTGTTATAATTTCTCTTGTTTAAAACTTCTCATTATGAGCCGTCATATTTTTTCTAGACTTTGCAGCTTCAGCCTTATTGTATTACCTCAATGATAAGGTCATTTGTGCTACCCACGTCTTTTACATGATCCTTCACTGCTGAGATGATTCTCCTGTGCTTTGTTTACCGTTCTTCCTTTGAGTTCTTCATTTTTCCCATGTGTGAGTAGCTGAAATTTTGGTCATCGTGTTACCTTCTACCGCCCATTGAAACACTTTGATAGCTGCCAGCAAATTTTCCCTATCTTCTTCCAAGAGCACTCTGATGGTTGCTTAGGTACATCACCAAGACTAGACAGTGGAAGCTCCAGGACCCTCTCTCCCACCCTCCATCCTTCCCTGCCTGCCCTCGGTGACCCTCTCACCCTCCATCCTTCCCTGCCAGCCATTGGCGACCCTCTCATGCTCCATCCTTCCCTGCCTGCCCTCGGCGACCCTCCCACCCTCCATCCTTCCCTGCCTTCCCTACCACCCTCCATCCTTCCCTGCCTGCCCTCGGCGACCCTCTCACTCTCCATCCTTCCCTCGGCATCCCTCCCACCCTCCATCTTTCTCTGCCTACCCTCGGCGACCCTCCCACCCTCCATCCTTCCCTGCCAGCCCTCGGCGACCCTCCCACCCTCCATCCTTTCCTGCCTGCCCTCGGCGACCCTCCCACCCTCCATCCTTTCCAGACTACCCTCGGCGACCCTCCCACCCTCCATCCTTCCCAGCCTGCCCTTGACGACCCACCCACCCTCCATCCTTACCTGCCTGCCCTCTGCAACCCTCCCACCCTCCATCCTTCCCTGCCTGCCCTCGGCGACCCTCCCACCCTCCATCTTTCCCTGCCTGCCCACGGCGACCCTCCCACCCTCCATCTTTCCCTGCCTGCCTTATCTGCCTGCACTCGGCGACCCTCCCACCCTATATCCTTCCCTGCCTGCCTTATCTGCCTAGCCTCCACAACCCTCCCACCCTCCATCCTTCCCAGCCTGCCCTCGGCTACCCACCCACCCTCCATTCTTCCCTGCCTGCCCTCTGCAACCCTCCCACCCTCCAACCTTCCCTGCCTGCCCTCGGCGACCCTCCCACCCTGTGGGCTGTGGCTCGTACGTCGGACTGCGTGCGGCCAGCAGTAACAGCCTAGTTGATCAGGCCCTGATCCATCGGGAGGCCTGGTCGTGGACCGGGCCGCGGGGGCGTTGATCCCCAGAATA